TCTTGCCCCCGGTTCAAGCCTTTGAAAGAACCTTGCCCCCGGTTCAAGCCTATGAAAGAATCTTGCCCCCGTTCAAGCCTTTGAAAGAACCTTGCCCCCGGTTCAAGCCTATGAAAGAACCTTGCCCCCGGTTCAAGCCTATGAAAGAATCTTGCCCCCGGTTCAAGCCTTTGCCAGTGATGCAGAAAAGGCAGCGGATGGGGTGGTCCACCCAAGTGTCCTTTTTTATTCATGTGTGGTTAGGTATATTAGCGGATCGGCAGTGTTTGTATTGTGAAAAGGAGTGGAAAAAAATATTTTGTATTGCCCATGGCGGCACCAATAGTATCTTGGCCACTAGGAATTGTTTCTATCAGAACCAAATTGGCTGATAATTTTTCTGGGGGAGGGTGGGATTACGGCTGAAATCGTGTGCGCCGATGTATCGTAAGTGGAAGAAGGGGGTGGGCAAGGGGCCAAAAAATTGCTTTTATTCTTTGAAAATGAAGTGGTGCATTTTGGATTATACCTGAATTCGGTGTTCCTGATCGAATTTGAGATTTGTAAAATGAATTTCTTAAGCGTTCGTGGGAGGCATTATGGCGCCCATTGCCGTGTGTAAACCTTCTACACTCTAGTTTTGGAACGGCCATTGCGCTATTGCTGCACATGTCTGTATTCAACCCCATAATATGACGTTGATAAATTCAAAATATGAGATTGCATTTTATCAAATACATTATAATTTCTGTTAAAATTCACAGAGTAACGTTTCGATGATGAAAACATCCTGGTAACAAAGGTCATTCAAGTGTAAAAGATGATAACATTAATCTTTATTATATAAGATCACTAGTCTTTCAAGTGAAACAGGTGATAAAATTTATCTTTATTATATAATATCACTGATCATTTAAGCATAACAGAATTAAAAAATGCAAACCTTATTTTATAGGATTACTGGTCATGCAAGTAAAATTAACCCTTATTATTTGTAACAATGGCCATTCAAGTATAACAGATGATAAAATTAACCCTTATTATTTGTAACAATGGCCATTCAAGTATAACAGATGATAAAATTAACCCTTATTATTTGTAACAATGGCCATTCAAGTATAACAGATGATAAAATTAACCCTTATTATTTGTAACAATGGCCATTCAAGTATAACAGATAATAAAATTAACCCTTATTATTTGTAACAATGGCCATTCAAGTATAACAGATTATAAAATTAACCATTATTATTTGTAACAATGGCCATTCAAGTATAACAGATGATAAAATTAACCCTTATTATTGTAGGTTTCAAGAAGCCACGATGATTATAACATGTTATATAATTTCTTTAACAATTGAAATACGTTTAAAAAAACTGTTTACTTACTTTAACATTGCTTACGCGTTGTTCATAAAGAACGTCCGCGAAGACAAGAACCATGCTGGCATGTGTGTACAAAGACATGAACCATGCTGGCAAGTGTGTACAAAGACATGAACCATGCTGGAAAGTGTGTACAAAGACAAAAACCATACTGGCAAGTGTGTACAAAGACAAGAGCCATTCTGGCAGGTGTGTACAAAGACATGAACCATGCTGGCAAGTGTGTACAAAGGCATGAACCATGCTGGCAAGTGTATAGAAAGACATGAACCATGCTGGCAAGTGTGTAGAAAAACAGAGGGCAATGAAAAAGAGGCGCGTTTATTGCGAGCAATCTTTACAAACAGCCCCTTTCCCTGTATTTATTTATTTATTTATTTAATCCATATTTTCAACGTTTAAATATTTATTATTTTGTGTTTGATTAAATGAATGTTTATAATATAAAAACCAAATGTTATTTTTGTAATTGTTTTCAAATTACTTAAAATTAAATAAAGAGGGGAAAAAAGTAGATCTAGAACTATATTAATTTATATCTCCAGAAGTAAAACAATTACAATACACGAAATATTCCAATGTTGATATGTACACACACATAGACAGAGTAAAATCTTGTTAAGTGTCTGTTAAGTCTGGAGGTCTCATAAAATGTCTTTTGGCTAGGAACTATAGCAAAAAACATTTGTCAGGGAAAGCTGACGGTTTATTTATAAGGCCTGAGTTGGAACCCTCCAGAAAAGAAATACTAGAAAATGAGTCACAAGGACCCGTTCTCTACCTTCCGTTTAGAATACATTAGAAAGTAAACAACCCATTCCCCATTATAAAAATTCAATATGTGACGACTTTACCTTTTTTAAGAACTGCAGTCTGACCCCGAACAGCCTCTCAGCACCAGTGGATCCGCTCCCCGTTCAAAAAGTTTGAGAACCCTTGTAGTACACTTTTGGGGGACTACATTCAGAGATGCAATGATTGATTTAAATATTACACGTTAAAATTGAATCCACACATTGTCTTCAACCAAAGGTTAACCATGAAAGGAGAATTTATTTGGTGTTACTTAAGATGCGATGCTTCAGAAGCATTTTGGGCATCTGCTATAGGGACCATATCTCCAATGATACAGTGAAAGAAAGGGTTCGTAAGGCAATTGGGGAGTAAGATGACCTACTGGTGACTGTGAAAAAACGCAAACTACAATGGTACGGCCACGTAACAAGGAAACAAGGGCTTGCCAAAGAAATATTGCAGGGTACCACAAGAGGAGGGAGAAGAAGAGGAAGACAAAGGAAAAGGTGGGAGGATAACATCAAAGAGTGGACAGGACTAACAATTGGCGATGCAGTGCGTAGGGCTGAAGACAGAGAGGAATGGAGGAGGATGGTTCACATGTCATCTGTGGCGCCCCAACGGTCCAAGGACTAAGGGACATGAGGATGAGGATGGGAACGTAAGCTGAACAGTAGTCCCCCCCCCCCTTTTTTTTTATTTGGATCTCCGTGTGGGGCTATGTAAATGAAAAGGGGGGGGGAGAATAATGGGGTAAGGACTTATGAAAACTAGAAATAACCTTCGCACCACGGCCATTGGAGGTTTAATAACAAAGAAAAAGTATTTACTAGACGTCAACAGGAGAGTACCCATAAGACATAGCCATGTGAAAAATCAACAACACGTCACCTTAATACCATACATTACGTGTCGCCCCCCCCCCCACCATTTTTCCACGAAAAAAAATTTAAAAAATATCAACTACACGTTACGAGGACAACATCCACTCTATGTTATCAAGACAGCATCTACTGCACGTTATCATGGCAACATCCACTCCGCGTTATCATGACAACATCCACTCCACGTTACCATGACAATTTATGCTACGAGTTTACACGAAAAAAAAATTACTAAATTCTTTTTTTTTTTTTCTTCTGGTTTTACCCTTAGCTTAATTGAATGTAAATATTAGTCAACAAAGACTGCGTCTTAGCAAGTGAAAATACAATTGTAGATTGACTTTCTACAGTTAACTATTCTGATAAGCGAGTCATCAAAAATATTTTTAGAAAACTATTTGAAATTTAGAAAAATAGATGCAAAATAAATAAGAGAACTATAAACTGTATTGCACAATATCAAGACCCTATTAAACCATTTAAAAAAAAACATTCATAAGTTTTTCTCATTTATAAAGAAAGGAAACGTTTTAGAACCACCTAAATGACTAACTGCAGATCATGGACTCTTTGACAGTTTTGATGTTTGAATCAGGTGCAGTTTTTAACATCAATCAGTTTTCGGTATATCCTGACGCACACAGGTGTACGTAATTTTAAACTAACACCGCGTTGACTGTGTCACCAGTTGTAGAAGGCGCGCTAACTCGATGTGTTTTATATTTCAGTACCAAACACGACATGGACCAACGGCTACGTATCCGGGTAGCTTGTTTGTCAATGAAAGGTCAAGGCTAACACATTAAATTACTACAGAAAGAAAGATAGATAGATAGATAGATAGATAGATAGATAGATAGATAGATAGATAGACAGATAGACAAATAGACAGATATATAGATTATATAGATAGATAGATAGATAGATAGATAGATAGATAGATAGATAGATAGATAGATAGATAGATAGATTCTATCTATCTATCTATCTATCTATCTATCTATCTATCTATCTATCTTAGATAGATAGATAGATAGATAGATAGATAGATAGATAGATAGATAGATAGATAGATAGATAGATAGATAGACAGATAGACAGACATACAGATAGACAGATAGACAGATAGACAGATAGACAGACAGACAGACAGATATATAGACAGATAGATAGATTAGATAGATAGATAGATTAGATAGATAGACAGATAGACATATAGATAGATAGATTATATAGATAGATTAGATAGATAGATAAATAGATATATAGATAGATAGATAGATAGATAGATAGATAGATAGATAGATAGCTAGATAGATAGATATATAGATAGATAGATAGCTAGATAGATAGATAGATGGATAGATAGATTAGATGGATAGATGGATAGATGGATAGATGGATAGATGGATAGATGGATAGATGGATAGATGGATAGATGATAGATGGATAGATAGATAGATAGATAGATTAGATGGATGGATGGATGGGTGATGGATGGATAAATGGACAGATAGATATAGGATAGTTGCGGTATTTTATACTTTGCTACGAAAGTTTTGAGAGTCCCACCCCAGCCCACCCCTCCCCAACCCCCCCCCCCTCCCATCGAGCCTGTTTGGGGGATAAGCAGTTTAATCCCGGATCTAAATGGCAGATTTGCGTTGTGCAGGGTTTCTAAAAAACTTTACAAAAACAATATTTTGTCATTTGAAAATGACAAAATATTTAGTAAAGATACATCCTTTTAAAATCGCATAGTTAAACTGTCCAATTAAAATCTGTATCACATCTGTCTCAAACATGTGTTTAAATTTTGTAGTATACAATTAAGAAAACAACAACTGACCCTTGGCCACAATAAAAAAATTGATCATGTCACTCAGCTGGAAGTTTTTAGAACCGCTGTCATAAGGAAAATTTCAAGATCCTGTGCCCCGTTTATATGAGCGTTGAAGGACACCTCGCGGTTGAGGAGAGCAGTACAGTATACTACCAACGGATAGTGTTAAATAATTGAACAGCATGAACAATCTGCGAATTATGCTCTTTTACATTTCTGTTTGTCTTCACTCTGCTCGCGGTAAGTGAATAAATGATTTTTTTTTTATTGATTTCATGGCAACTGTCAAGGTCTGTGAGCGCAATTGAACACCAATAAATCTATGTTTACACGATGATAGAAGAAATGTAATTTTTAGTCGTTTTCATCAAGAATGAAACTATAAACCTTTGAAATTAGGTAACACGACTTGATACTAAGTTTTCCCTGGTATCTTCTCGCATGCGCGCTATCAGGGCGCCGGTGATGCTGGTGCGCAAACAAAAAATATATAAAAATAGGGGCGCGCAGTAAATTTCATAAATAAAAAATTTGAAGACTTTTACTTTTTTTTTAAATCACTTATATTTTACAACGAATTAATTTACTACACTATTTGTAATGGATGCTCTTAGCTTAATGGTGAGTCTGTCAGTGTCATCAGTTGACAACGCCGACAGCACAATAGGCAAACATTTAAAAAAAAAATAATTTCAACTCTGCGGACCGTATAATGTGTCAAAGTTAAACAAATTTCTTGAATGACCAGCCCCCCCCCCCCCCCCCCCCCCCCCCCCCTATTTGTTTAAATTTTTATGAAACTTTATTTAAAATCAGTGATATTAAAACTGAACTAAAATTAGAAGATTTGAATTAACACATATCTTCATGCGCATCGTGGTTTCCATTAACTCGTCTACCGTTGTTCTCCAATGAAGTGTAGTATGATAAAAACTAAATTTAGATAATGTGCCAAAATGCATCCATGCATTTTAAATTTATTTAAAAAACATAGCGAGGGAGCTATCCTTCTCCCGTTTTTAATAATATCCCATATCCCACACACACTTTTTTTTCTTTTTGTTAGGGAGAAATAAGTTAGTATTCTACATTTTTCTTCCGCGCTCCGACGATCAAAGTTACAGTGAAATTCGTTTAAAGTGACCGTTATCGATAATCAAAGCAACAGTGAACGACGATCAGAGTTATATAATTATGTCCAGCGCTCATTATGTGTTTAAACCGAGTCATTGTTAGCAAGAGGTAAAATTAAAAGCCTATTACTTGCTTTACAAACAAGCATTCGTCATTAAGGAAATAAAATCATTCGAATTCCACCACATAATCTTACTTGTCTGTGTTTTTTATAATGGGAGGATTTCTGAGTTGAATTATTACTGATCAAAGTTTTCAAACATACTTTTCATAATGTTATTTCATTGTTGTTTTTTTTTTAATTATGAGACTGCCACACCAATGCTAGTACAATGTCACACCAATGCTAGTACAATGTCACACCAATGCTACTACAATGTCACACCAAGGCTAGTACAATGCCACACCAATGATAGTACAATGTCACACCAATGCTATTACAATGTCACACCAAGGCTAGTACAATGCCACACCAATGCTAGTAAAATGTCACACTAATGCTAGTATAATGCCACACCAATGCTAGTACAATGCCACACCAATGCTAGTACAATGTCACACCAATGCTAGTACAATGTCACACCAATGCTAGTACAATGTCACACCAATGCTAGTACAATGTCACACCAATGCTAGTACAATGTCACACCAATGCTAGTACAATGCCACACCAATGCTAGTACAATGCCACACCAATGCTAGTACAATGTCACACCAATGCTAGTACAATGCCACACCAATGCTAGTACAATGCCACACCAATGCTAGTACAATGTCACACCAATGCTAGTACAATGCCACACCAATGCTAGTACAATGCCACACCAATGCTAGTACAATGTCACACCAATGCTAGTACAATGCCACACCAATGCTAGTACAGATCAAAGTTTTCAAACATACTTTTCATAATGTTATTTCATTGTTGTTTTTTTTTTAATTATGAGACTGCCACACCAATGCTAGTACAATGTCACACCAATGCTAGTACAATGTCACACCAATGCTAGTACAATGTCACACCAATGCTAGTACAATGCCACACCAATGCTAGTACAATGTCACACCAATGCTAGTACAATGTCACACCAATGCTAGTACAATGCCACACCAATGCTAGTACAATGTCACACCAATGCTAGTACAATGCCACACCAATGCTAGTACAATGCCACACCAATGCTAGTACAATGTCACACGCTATTTAAAAAAAACGCACAAATAAGAATATAGTAGAAGTGTAGCTGCTATCAACAAATCATCGCAGTCCGATTGCTAACATCGAATCATCACAGTCTGATTGCCATCATCGAATCATCGCAGTCTGATCGCTATCATCGAATCATCGCAGTCAGAATGCCATTATCAAATTATCACAGTCTGATTGCCACCATCAAATCATCACAGTCTGATTGCTATCATCAAATCACCACATTTTGATAGCTATCATCTCATCATCACAGTATGGTTGCAACCATCAAATCATCACAGTCTGATTGCTATCATCAAATCACCACATTCTGATAGCTATCATCTCATCGTCACAGTATGGTTTGCAACCATCAAATCATCACAGTCTTCCTGCCAAAGGTTTTGACCACTGCCATGTTGAACTATTTCACCTAACTTTGTCTGACCCCATAGTTCATCTTCTAATCATTCACTGCGTTAATGTTTAGAAGTTGTTTTTTCCTCCTTTGCTTTATTTTTCTTTTTACTGATGTCATTGACACAAGTGCTAACCAGTTTTTAACCCATGGGTTCTCACATTATCTATCAGGTGACAGCAGCAGGGACTGTGTCGTCACCGCTGAGGAGAGGGCTCAACCCGAATCTTCCAGTACTCACGGGACGCCCGTCAGGATGGCGCAGACTACAAGTGGGAGATGGACATCAGAGGTTACCGCGTCGTCGTGGCCACAACAGCGCAACCTTCTCAATCGCAAGGTAATCGGTCTTTCTGCTCCACACCTGCCCTTACTCTGCGACTCAACATGAAGGTTTCCACTACTCCCATTCAACTGTTGCATTACATTACAATGATAACGATCGCAGATCGATGCCACGTTATCAATACTTCTTTGTCCCTGTTCTCACGAGTCATACATCAATATTAATTTTTTGTTGGATTGTTTTGTGCGTTCTTGTTTGGATCTGAGAGTATTTGTGTAGATGTTGCTATGTGCTTTGCATTTTGTGACGTATTTGGGTATGAAAAATGGCGTTATTGGGTGTTTAAGTTTTAAGCAGCAGCGATGGAGTAGTTTGTACTGGAGGTACAGAAGAATGAAAGAAGAAGAAGACACGCTGTTTATTTAATAAGGAGCTATTGAACTGATTATCGAGTTCACAACTACCAATTATTTCTCATAGCTTATTACGATATATCTATATCTATATATATTTATATATAAGGGGCAGTCCATAAAGTACGTCACGCTATTTTTGACCATTTTACCCCCATTCCCCTCCTGTCACAAGCTGTCACTAATCTTGGACCCTCCCCCCCCCTAAAGTTCTTCACACTTTCGAACAATTTTTTTTTTTAATTAACACCTAAGTAAAATTTAATCAAAAACCCACTTCACTATTAAACTGTATTAAAATATAAAATTTCCACTTAAAAGAACTATCACATTATTAAAATGACTTTAATAGTAAAATAGTCACTAGCGCTCCTAGCGAGAGGAATCGTGAACAACACATTCAGGAGATACGCATTTCATGCTATTTTGAGATAAAACTAATTCAAATGTTTCACAAAATTTGTGAAAATTGTTTTTAAAGCTATTAAATTCTACTAAAAAAAATAAAAATTAATGAATTAGAAATAATTTTTTTTAAAATAAATGTGTGATGTCACACATGGGTCACAAACTGTCACACTTTCTTACACCCCCTCCCCCCTTTGGAGTGTGACGTACTTATGGATGGTCCGTAAGATAGCTTTTGTTAATATAAACATTTTTTCCTCAGGCTTTTTTGCCCTTTCTGAACCAAGCTCTACGGCCTTACCTGGATGGCAGGACTTGTACCTGTATGTGACGTCAGTCACACGGTTCATGACCTACCTACAGTGCTCAAGTTTATACAAGACTAAGGCCTATATGCAGATGTACGGGTATTGCAGGCTTGTCATATTTGGTAAATACGCTTGACCTACTTTCATTTGGAGGACATATTATATAATCATTCGATTGGTGGTCTGTTGTCATGTTGAACGGCTTACAAGTCCATCGACTACCACCTCCCCTCAAACTACCACCTCCACGCCAACTACCACCTACACCCCAACTACCACCTCCACCCCAACTACCATCTCCACCCTAACTACCACATCCACTCCAACTACCGCCTCCATCCAAACTACCATCTCCACCCCAACTACCACGTTCCCCCAAACTACCACCTCCATTCCAATTACAACCTCAACAACAACTACAAATTTCACGAAAACTTCCACTTCCACCCCAACTACGACCTCCCTAATTACCCCCCTCCCCCACAACTACCACCTTCCCAATTTTATTAAAGTCAATAATAATTATTAATTGTTTAAACGTATTAACAACATGGTTTTAATTTTTTTTCTTTTTAATGAAATAGCAATTACAAATTAATTTTGAGGTTTAAAAGGAATAATGGAGCATTACAAACCTTTGGATATGTGAACTAAAACATTGATTGGTAACAGAAAAATGTTAAGTCTTACGTTAGTAAAATATTGTTGGTTAGAGCTTATCACAAATAAAATGAATTGTCTGTTTACAATTAAAAAAAAAAACTGAAGACATTCTACCAATCTGAAGGCAAGGTAAACTCGTCATACAAAAGGAAGCCTCTCTTCGACCTCAAGAAACAACTCCCACACAATAAACCCGATCTTTGACCCCCTTACACAAAGACCCCCAAACAACGACCAGAATACCACGGCCTACGCACAACAAACACACGATATTACCCCACATAACAACCCCCAAACAACGACCAGAACACCACGGCCTATGCACAACAAACACACAATATGACCCCACATAAAAACCCCCACACAACGACCAGAATACCACGGCCTACACACAACAAACACACAATATGACCCCAAATAACAACCCCCAAACAACGACCAGAATACCACGGCCTACGCACAACAAACACACAATATGACCCCACATAACAACCCCCAAACAACGACCAGAACACCACGGCATACACACAACAAACACATGATATGACCTCACATAACAACCCCCACACAACGACCAGAACACCACGGCCTACGCACAACAAACACACAATATGACCCCACATAAAAACCCCCACACAACGACCAGAATACCACGGCCTACACACAACAAACACACAATATGACCTCACATAACAACCCCCACACAACGACCAGAACACCACGGCCTACACACAACAAACACACAATATGACCCCACATAACAACCCCCAAACAACGACCAGAACACCACGGCATACACACAACAAACACACGATATGACCCCACATAACAACCCCCAACATAATGATACCCGCACATCATCTCACACACCACGACACACATAGAACGATCCCTGCACGACGAAGTCCACTTTGCGACGCCCACACAACGACCCTCCCCCCACACACACACTAAGACTTCAATCTTGCTACGTCTATAGTACTTTTGACTTTAATACCGACGTGTTGTTAAAATTGTGCTCCGTTTTAATGAGAGTGTTTGTTACGTCTTGCTTGCAGTCAGACCAACAGTGCCTGTGTGTGTCGCGCCTCGTTTTGACCAGAACGGACGCGTGATGGAAATACCATGTCATACGTCTGTGTATCCTCAAGGCATATGCAACTTTACTTATGAGGTATGTATTTGGAGCAAAGGAATGAGACGTACCGAAAAAGAAGACAAATTCAGCATTAATGTTTTAACCAATGGGGCGACTTAAAATGTCTTTAGCCAAGGGGGTGCCTTTAAGTGGCTTTACCTCATGGGGCGCCTTAAATGGCTTTAAAAAAAGGGAGCAAAGAATGAGACATACCGAAAATGAAGACAAATCCAGAGTTAAAGTTTTAACCAATGGGGCGTCTTAAAATGGCTTTAACCAATGGGGCGTCTTAAAATGGCTTTAACCTATGGGGCGTCTTAAAATGGCTTTAACCAATGGGGCGTCTTAAAATGGCTTTAACCAATGGGGCGTCTTAAAATAGCTTTAAACAATGGGGCGTCTTAAAATGGCTTTAACCAATGGGGCGTCTTAAAATGGCTTTAACCAATGGGGCGTCTTAAAATGGCTTTAACAAATGGGGGCGGCTTTAAATGGCTTTGAAAAAGGGGACATCTTTAAATGGCTGTAACCGTTTGGACGCCTTTGAAATTGCTTTAACCAATGGGAAGCGTTTTAAAAGGCTTTAACCAATGGTACGCGATTTAAATGACTAAAACCAGCGGTTCTCAACCTTCCTAATGCCACGACCTTTTAACACAATTTCTCATGTTATGACAACCCCCAAACACAAATTTATTTTCGTTGCTACCTCATAATTGAAGAGTATATGTGTTTTCTGAGGGTCTTATCAGATGCTTGTGAAAGGTCGTTCAATCCACAAAAGAGTCGCAAGCCACACGTTGAGAACCGCTGGCTTAAACCAATGGGACGCCTTTTAAATTGCTTTAACCAGTGGGGCACGTTTTAAAAGGTTTTAACCAATGTGACGCCTTTGACATGGCGCCACGGTGTTAATATTCATTCAGGAGCGGATGTAAGAGAAATTTAATGACATAGCCAAGAGATATCAAATTGTTTTAACACATGCAAGAATTTATAAACAAATATCTATATTTAGCAACTTGAAAAAACAAATTAAAAGAAATTTAAAAATAGCACCCAACAACGATCATGAAGCTAGGTTGTATTCTCTAATCAATAAAATAGTTTCAGTTTGTTATTGTGCATACTCCGTAAGCCAAATTGTAAATATTTATTCTGTTTGACTTTAGATATATTTTTTAACTAGAGGGTACGCAACAAGAATCATGGAGTCAAATGGCAAATATATTTTACTTTTGCATCTCCGTATCTCTACTCACACCACTTTGGTTATAACATCTCATTGACTGTGAACTCCTTGCCGTAATGTCCTATACGTTTATAACGCTATGCTGAACTCTTAATCTAAAACTTTGAATCGACGTCAATGTCTCGGAGCCTTATCCTGTCGCAATGTTTTTGTTCGTGGGCGCGACATTATCGTCTTCATTTGTGTAGGAAAATATTATATATATAAATATATGTGATTGGTTTTTCTTATTCACTAGAATGAATATGGACGAGCGCCCACTGAGGGTTACGAGGTCAAGTACAGTAACATGTACTCGTCCACCACTGGGCTGTACACGACCACGTGTACACTGATTGTACCGTTCGCGCACATCACGTGGAACACGAGCTTCACAGTGGGCGTGAGTGCCGCTCCTGACATAAAGGACCACCAGGACTACACGGTCAACAGGGCCAGGACCTTTCACTTGTCGATAGGTGGGGCCACAGTGCATTGTAACACTGTGTCTTGCAAAACTGTCCATTGCAACACTGTGTCTTGTAACACTGTGTCTTGTAACACCGTGTCTTGTAACACCGTGTCTTGTAACACCGTGTCTTGTAACACCGTGGCTTGTAACACTGTGTCTTGTAACACCGTGTCTTGTAACACTGTGTCTTGTAACACTGTGTCTTGTAACACCGTGTCTTGTAACACCGTGTCCTGTAACACCGTGTCTTGTAACACCGTGTCTTGTAACACTGTGTCTTGTAACACTGTGTCTTGTAACACTGTGTCTTGTAACACAGTGTCTTGTAACACCGTGTCTTGTAACACTGTGTCTTGTAACACTGTGTCTTGTAACACCGTGTCTTGTAACACCGTGTCTTGTAACACCGTGTCTTGTAACACCGTGTCTTGTAACACTGTGTCTTGTAACACCATGTCTTGTAACACCGTGTCTTGTAACACTGTGTCTTGTAACACTGTGTCTTGTAACACCGTGTCTTGTAACACTGTGTCTTGTAACACCGTGTCTTGTAACACTGTGTCTTGTAACACCGTGTCTTGTAACACTGTGTCTTGTAACACCGTGTCTTGTAACACTGTGTCTTGTAACACTGTGTCTTGTAACACTGTGTCTTGTAACACCGTGTCTTGTAACACCGTGTCTTTTAACACCGTGTCTTCTAACACCATGTCTTGTAACACTGTGTCTTGTAACACCGTGTCTTGTAACACTGTGTCCTGTAACACCGTGTCTTGTAACACTGTGTCTTGTAACACTGTGTCTTGTAACACCGTGTCTTGTAACAGAGTCTTGTAACACCGTGTCTTTTAACACCGTGTCTTGTAACACTGTGTCTTGTAACACTGTGTCTTGTAACACCGTGTCTTGTAACACTGTGTCTTGTAACACCGTGTCTTGTAACACTGTGTCTTGTAACACTGTGTCTTGTAACACCGTTTCTTGTAACACCGTGTCTTGTAACACTGTGTCTTGTAACACTGTGTCTTGTAACACCGTGTCTTGTAACACCGTGTCTTGTAACACTGTGTCTTGTAACACTGTGTCTTGTAACACCGTGTCTTGTAACACCGTGTCTTGCAACACTGTGTCTTGTAACACTGTGTCTTGTAACGCCATGTCTTGTAACACTGTGTCTTGTAACACCGTGTCTTGTAACACTGTGTCTTGTAACACTGTGTCTTGTAACACCGTGTCTTGTAACACTGTGTCTTGTAGCACCGTGTCTTGTAACACCATGTCCTGTAACACCGTGTCCTGTAACACCATGTCCTGTAACACCGTGTCTTGTAACACTGTGTCTTGTAACACCGTGTCCTGTAACACTGTGTTTTTAACACTGTTTCCTCTGTCAATGTGTCTTGAAAAATTGTGTCTTGTAACACTGTATCTTGTAAAAATGTGTGTAACAAGACTGTTTTTTTTTTCAATTTTGTTCTATCTTGTAACGCTGTGTCTCATAACATTATATCTTCGACACACCTTGCTGCTTGCGTTACTCAAGTATATAAACAGCCTGACCAACACAACTTTTGTAAAGCTATAACACAGCTGTTCATCTGAAACTCACAGTTATCCACATTGAACCCAAAGTTATTGATATAAAAACCTGAGTCAAGACGACATTTTGAATTTTTTTTTTTTAAATACTTTTCTCCCCACAGTTAAACCAAGCGAGCCTTAATGTGACAAACCAAAAGTTCAGGGATTTGATCCGTTCCTTGAAGTCACCTGCAAAAGTGATGTTCTTCCCTGGGGAATTTGTGAATTCAATTTCACGGTTGGACTGGTACGTATTGGGCGCTGCCTGGAGGAATTTTATTTTTTTCCATTTAACAAGTGTCGTTATTTGAGTTAATGCCAACCGCGGTGGGGCACGGGTGGGACACGGGTGGGGTACAGGGTGGGGCACGTGTTTTGCCGTCCCTTTCCACGACAAAAACATCTGCAATTAGCCGAGAATTTTGCCTCTCAATGTGAAGAGAAATGAGACGAAGCGTGTGGGCCTTTTTCTCCGTACCGCTTTCCCACGCCACTGCGTAACCTGTAAAACACCATAGCTGTGGTTCTCAACCTTCCCAATGACGCGACCCTTTAATAGAGTTGCTCGTTTTGGGGCGACCCCAAAACATAAAGCTATTTCCGTCGCTCTTTCATAACTGTAGAGTGTATGTGTTTTCCGATGGTCTTATGCGACCCCCTTGAATGGTACCCAGGTACCGCACTGTTTGAGCTAACTCAATACACACACCTGAGAGAGTAATGGATGTAGTGTTATTTGCAGATTTTTGCTTCTGAGCGGTCGCGATGGGGAGCAGCTCAGTCTTATCATCATTTAATTTGAGCTTGATTATTAGCCGATACCGTTGCTTGGTTACGTCCAAGTGCAGCTTCAAATTGAGAAATAGTTGTCGTAAGGCCGAATCCTTTCAGAGGATTTTACCAAACATATCGATGAACTGAAAACTATGTTCCAGTAGTAGTTCAAATAAAATTTTAAAAATGTAAGTATTCAAATTAGTTTTTTTTAAAATATTCTGAAACATATAGTAGTATATGAGTAGTAGTGTAGGGATTGAAACCTGTTATGTTATTTGAATAAATTGCACTTATTTAAATAATTTTTTTAAGATGATAAAATTTATTTTAAATAATTTTTTTTTTTTTGATTCTTGAAATAGCTTCAATTTTTTTGTTTAACAATCTCAGCTACAAGTTACTACGGATCTCCATGACTATTGCTGTAGTTGTGTTTGTTAAGATTTCGATGTTTTTGTTACTTTGACTTTATGGGAACATTCTGCATTAGTTGTGATTGATGATTATCTTTGTGTCTGTCATTTTTTTTTTACTTAGAGAAATATACGTTAAGTACCTACTGTTTGTCAATGTATTTCTCAAAGTATTTGTCAGTGTATTTGTCACATTACGTCCAAAATTATTAGTAACATATATGTTTGTCAATGTATTTCTCAAAGTATTTGTCAGTGTATTTGTCACATTACGTACAAAACTATTAGTAACATATATGTGTTTGTCAATCTATTTGTCTCATTACAAAAAAAAAATTTAGTTAGATACCTATTGTTTCTCATTGTATTAGCCAATATTTATTTGTAAAGCTCAAATTAGCTCCATTTTTTAACCCATGGTTATATAGCTTAAACGAAATGTCCTTTGCGGGTCAAACTTTCTTTCCCCCCCCCTCCCCTCTCAGAGCGACCTCGCATAGTGTCCTTCATGGCCAACCAAAAAAACGCCAAGTTTGTCAGCCTCGCCGTCGACGACAACCTGCAACTCGCGTGCACGGCTGCGGGAAATCCCGGGATTCAGCTCTACCTTGTGAAAGACGGCGGTCAAGTCCTGCACACCCTCGACGTCCCCAACAGTCTCCTCTACGTCATAGACGTGGTCAACTGTAGACATTCAGCTGAATACGAGTGCCGCATGGTAAATGAAACGGCCGGCAGTCTGAATGTAACCGTGTCTGTTCTTTTGGGCCAAGGTAAGAATCAAGAGAACCTGGTCCAAAAAAAGAAGTGTTGTGGCCCTCTCAGTGTTACAAATATATATATACATACTAGATGTAGCCCGCCAAACATTGGTGACAGCAATGCGTGAACTTCCCATCTACTAAACTGGACAAAAACGTGAACTAAAGTTACGCACATTTAAGAATGCCAATTTTGCTACACCCCTTCACCCCCCCCCCACCTTTTTTTTTTCCTTGATACGTCACGGCACACAATTTTTTTTCACGCCGACCCGCGGCTTAGCAGATCCGCGAGCTGGCTGGCAAGCAAGGTTGGTGCAGGGGGGGGGGGGTGCGGTAGCTCCACAGCGTGAAATCCCCATCTACAAAACTGGACAAAAACGTGAACTAAAGTTACCCACATTTAAAAATGCCAATTTTGCCACACCCCTTCCCCCCCCCCCCACCTTTTTTTTTTCCTTGATACGTCACGGCACACAATTTTTTTTCACGCCGACCCGCGGCTTAGCAGATCCGCGAGCTGGCTGGCAAGCAAGGTTGGTGCAGGGGGGGGGGTGGTGCGGTAGCTCCACCGCAGTGCGTATGTCTCGAGACCAACGATGAGCAGGTAATTTAAGGGAGGGGGTGGTTTGCCTGCGTCTTGCTTGCTCTGGAGTATCTATATATAGCCTGCGTTGTCTTGTTCCTCTTTTTGTTTGCCCTACTTCTTCTGGCGAATTACATATATACATTTTTTTTCCAGTTACATTTTTAAAATAATTTTATCAACGGTATTTTTTCCTCTGGATAAAAAAAATTTATGACTGTTCCCAATGAAACGAATTTCCAATGTTCCCCTCTCCACCCCTTACCCCACCCACCCACCCACCCACACCACTCCCACCCCCTCAAAAATTAAAAAAAAAATTAAGTAAATTAAATTAATACATAAATAACTTTAAAAAAAAAATCATACTCATCTTTTCCCATGTCACAGACTAATATCAAAGCCTGAAACCAACATGTGACCCACCAGTCATTAGTGACATGGACCCGTACGTCAATGTGACCTGCAGGAGTAGTGTGACCCCATTCACCAAGTGTCACGCTGTATTTCAGGTAACAGTTTGGTTTACACTGTCATTCCACTTTGGTGTAAAGTGGAAGGAGCATTTTTAAAAAAAATCAAAATTTAAAATTTATCATCCTTATGAATTCCCGCAAGTTGATGAACGGGCAATTGTAAATAATTTGAGCTGCTGGATTCTGCGTGGCCGGGCAATCTAATCTGAGAGAATCCCAAGCTTTTAAACTGGAACTGTTGCCGGGCAAATCTAATCTGAGTGAATCCCAAGCTTTTAAACACTGGAACTGTTGCCGGGCAAATCTAATCTGAGAGAATCCCAAGCCTTTAAACACTGGAACTGTTGCCGGGCAAATCTAATCTGAGTGAATCCCAAGCTTTTAAACACTGGAACTTTTGCCGGGCAAATCTAATCTGAGTGAATCCCAAGCTTTTAAACTGGAACTCAATCCTTATAAAAAAAATTAAAAAAAAACAGCACCCCGGGTGGCTGGCAATTGATCTTAAGAGGTGGCAAATTCTGAAATCAATCCACGAGATTGAGGGGGGGGGGGTGCAGTCCCGTAGGCAGTATCCCGCTGACTCAATGAAAATTTCAAACAACTCCTGAGATGTGGTGCGCACCAATAGGCACAGGACAATGTTCTGTGTAAATAGAAACTTTACGGCAGTGTCACCACTGTTCATGAAAACTGGTTGACATCACACAATCAATGTCGTAAAATAGGAGCTTTGTTTTTAAATGTAAATGATAAGAAGTGAAATATCACCGAGGCCACGATATGCACAGTTGCTCATCCCATTTGCCAGTGCACGTGGTACACCAAATCTGTCCCTAGCAAATATGATATATTAAATTGCTCTTCACTCAAACAATGTTTGTTCACCCATCTTATATGGGAAGGAAAAATATTTTTAAATGAAGGCCACAAATCATTGCAATTTAAGAATTTTCTTTTTTTTTTAAAATTTTTTTAAAGGTAATTCAGCAATTCTAAAATAAAACAAATAATTTGAATGGCACACATTGAAAAATATGAAAACAAAAGACACACAGTCTGTGTAAGACGCGCGTCACAAATAAAGTTTATATTGAAATAAAAGTACCAGCGATGCTGTCACTTGGCAGATTGACTCAACTTCAGAGAGAACACTCATAAAAAACATGGCACATGTCAATGAAACATTCCACTTTACGTTGATCCCCTTTGATAGCAAATGACAAAAAATTTAAGTGAACCAGAGAGTCAACCTGAAATAAATAATATTGGTGAACCTGAGAGAAATATCAAAGGAACCTAAGAGAAATATTAATTGAACTTGACAGAAATATCAAAGGAACCTGAGAGAAATATTAATTGAACTTGACAGAAATATCAAAGGAACCTGAGAGAAAAACCAAAGGAACATGAGCGAAATATGAATGAAACATGATAAAAATATCAAAGGAACCTGAGACAAATATTAATTGAACCTGAGAGAGATATCAAAGGAACCAGGGAAACATATCAAAGGAACCCGAGAAAAATATCAAAGGAACCTGACACAAATATCAAAGGGACCTGTCAAAAATATCAAAGGAACCTAAGAGAAATTTCAAAGGACCTGAGAAAATATGAACGGAACCTGAGAGATATATCATAGGACCTGAGAAAAATATCAAAGGAAATATTAAATGAATCCGAGGCAAAGATCAAAGGAACATGAGAAAAATATCAAGTGAATCGGAGAAGAATATCAAGTGAACCTGAGATATCAAGGGAGCCCGAGAAAGATGTGCCCTAACTTAGGAGAAGTTACCGAGGCGTGGGGAGGTTGCCACTGCCAAACCCCTAAGGCAAATGAATCAAAGGTAGAGACCTAGGGAACGGAGGATGTATGTGGATGGATGATGTAGAGAAAGATCTGCTGGGGAACCCAAGCATGGAAATGAAACGCATCAGTAGCTTCCGAGTAGAAGGATGTGGTGAGTGAGGCAAAACCCTACATGTGCTGTAGCGACACAGGGATGACAGAAAAACGCTAACCCAATGTTCACACATAATGTCACCCGGCTTTGTCTTGACCTGGTTCACTGTAGAATATTTATTTTCAGCTAAATTATATATATATATATATATATATATATATATATATATATATATATATATATATATATATATATATATATATATANAAACTAATTACAAGCATACAATATCAAAGTCTTTCTGGCCATTTCAACACTAAGCAACACAGCAACACATGGAAAATAAGGTAGACAATCATCCCAGAAGGTATTTGCGAAATAGATGTGTCTTTAGATAAAATTCATTTATTACATTTTTAATATAGAATTAAATCAAGCTCATGCAACGCTAGCTTATTATTAATTGTAACACCCCGATACTTGTGTCTTGTGTACATGTATATGGTATCGAACACAGGAATTCATGACCCGACCAAGCTTCATCCTTACTGATTTTAACTTTCCACCTTTCAGTCCAAGGACGGAACCACCGCCCCCACCTCCTCGAGAGTCTTCTACACGAGCGTTACCAGGCCGAGCTACTACCTCACCGAGTGCCTCATTCAAACCAACATCAGCGAGCTCCTGCCCCGAATTAACTACCAGGTACAGGTGGAGTTCTCGGCTGCTGTCAAAGGCTGCAACGCAACGAGACGGAGCGAACTGTCGAGGATATTTTACTTTAGTGAGTATGGCGCGTCCCCCCTCCCTGTGTCCCTAAACCATGGCAGTGCTGACGGATGAACGCAATGTGAATCCACATAAGTTACCATATTACGTGACGGCATGCTACCCTTGGCGGTGGGCTTAACTATTTACACAATCCTCACAGCTCGACTCCTATGATATAAGCTTGTACAATATTAATATGTCCGAGATGAATGGTGTCCACTCCGAAGGGACGTAACTAATGAAAATAAGGTAAAACGCCAGTGTCATGACTACTACGTTCCTTTAAAACGATAACTGGGGCTTTTCCATACGTAATATTTTCCCAATAATTCTAGCCCCATCTAAAATATTGTCTCAGTCATAATTTGACAACAAAGCAGATTAAGAGAGGAATGGCATGACTGCACTTAAAGGGCTTGACAAATGGTAGCTACATGGAGCGCCCTCTGGATTTATTATTACAGATTACGCAACCGTTCGATTATGTTACACGCTAAACGTTGTTGTGTTGTCCCGGCCCGTGTAAATATATTTTAACTGGCTGAGACGAGGAACAATCGAGTTCAATCCGCCTCCAGGTACTGTAGCAATAACTAATGCGGAAAAACCAAATGTCGACTTTTTCCCACTTTCCGATTCCAAACACTAAACTCTCCTTTTCATGTGGAACCAGCTTAGTCTTTAAAAAAAAAAAAAATATTAAAAGAAATGAAGAAAACCCTTGATCATGATAAGTTCAAAGATAGTTTAAAGAATGCCCCGAAGACTGTTTCTTTGTTTGTATGCGATTTGGGGCGAAAAATTGCTTTGCAATATCTGATCCAAATCAATATTTATTCATTTTGATTATGTCTTTTAAATCATGGAGTCAGTCTGTTCACGTTTGAGTAAATCAGGTGCATATCCGATTTTTTATTCACCTTATTTTGTAAAGTACATCGGCTTTGATATTGGAATGAGTATCAGGGATGTATCTTAAGAAGATTTTGGGCTCCTACCCCCCACCCTCATGTTGGTGCCCGAAGAGAGTGACCCCTTCGCGCAACCCCCAACAATCCAACCCCCCCCCCCCCAACCCAATAGTTTCACAGGACCCTTGCAGTGACTGTTACATGAAAGGAACTAGTGTTGGTTTATGTAATAATGCAAATTTTGAACAATTATTTCTTTCATTATAAAATTAATTATTGTGGTAAATTTCAAAAATATCATTAAGACAGATCGCGTATTTTTATTTTGTTTAAGTTTGTTGTCTTCAACAAGTTAAGGTGAGGCCAATAATTACTTGCTTGGTCTCCCAGAACGTGGCTCCTAAGTAAGTTTTATATATTCGCTCTCCAAATGTGGGGATTATTACCATCCGACACTTCCTTTTTTTTTTTATTTATTCCAAGCGTACCTGAGATGACCTACTTCACTGCCAACGACCAAGTGGGCACAGCTCATTTCACAACAGGAGACACGTTGAACATCAGGTGCATCGCCAGTGGAACGCCGAAACCAACGATGAGCTTGTTAGACAATCAAGGTGTCGTCTTGTACGTCAGCGATTTCGCCGGGACCCTGGCATTCACGGTCTACGACCTGGACTGCACACGATCGAACGAATACACGTGTCGGGCCCACAATGGTTTCAGCGTGTCCGACACAATCGTTTCTGTTGGAAAGTGTAAGTCTATGGTTTATACGCATCAAACATTTCTTTTGGAAATTGTTTCTTTTTTTCTTTCTTTATATTAATAAAATTAAAAACAAGGTTGTCGCATAAATTCTTTTTATCCATTTTTTACAAATTATTTTCTTTGATATTGCTGCTCTCATGTACAAACAAACCCGCCTCTTACATCTCAGTTTGATTTAAACAACTGTTTCAGAAATAACAAAAGAAAATATAACGCACAAAACGCAATTGCGATTTTTTTATTTTTTATAGAATCTCATTCAGCGCAAGTATCGTGAATTTTATTTCATCAAATCACTGCCATCGTATTTCCTTCATCTTCCGTTTGAAAAATATCTTTTTTTTAAAAAACTAATATTTTGCGCTTGTGATGGGGATGGGCTAAAATTTTAAACGAATATGTTGTCAGCAGCAAGTTATGTGCCAAGTTTCAGCTCGATAGGTTGATAGTCATTATTTAAATCCCCCGTTATTTCAAAAATGTGTCTTTGTATTATATATATTATGTTGAAGTTAATGTTCATATTAAATAATAACAAAATAATTCAGTTAACAAACTATGAAAAATAACCACGCGAACACATATTTTGATGTCATGAAAATAAATGCATCGTTAACTTCTGCTATTTAAATAGAAAAAATAGGTTAAAAACTTGAGATGCAGCAGCAACGGTATATCAACATTAATAGAGTAAATTCACTTATTTTGCATCCCCTGTAATGGGTAAAAAATTAGTCTAAAAAAATAGTATTTTTATTCATTTATTTACATCAATGTTTCGTGTGTCGACAGGTCCTTCAGAACCAAGCAGTTTTGACTTTTTGCCAGTTAAAATAGCTGTCCCTCTCATCGGATTGGTTGGCGTCCTAATAGTAGCCGTGTGCTGTTGCACACGGTGGCGGTCAAAAGGAAAAAGACAAACACCAGAAAGAGCAACGGAAGTGGGACCGCGAGGATTTCCACAAATGGCAGATGGAATGCACGCTAGACCCGGGCCCCATCAGCAAACTCCGGGAACCATCCAAAACCACATGTCTCGGCCGCTTCAAAATGGTGCTTGCAGATCAGATATTGTAGCGAGACCGGACTTGACACGCGATGAGGCTTTTCTGATTGGTATGCACGATGGTGACAAGGGAGCACTATTTCTGATCCTCGCGACTTCAAAACAGAATCCCAGTATGGACTTACAGCAGAACAGCTCCAACACACTAAATGGACAAAAGCCGTGGTCACATGTGAACGCGCCCATCACGTCGTCAGCAGCTTACGACGTAGCGTCTTTCCCTCCCCCTCAATACACCGAGATCCCAACACAGCAAGCAACTCCAGGTCCTTACAACAGTCAAACCCTGGAATACAGACTAGGCTATTCTATGGACGTGTAATTTCACAAGACCGTTAAGCCGATATGAGTTGAATTCACTCTCGTCTGACACCTGGTGATGCAGCTCGGCTGGAATAATTAGGACTGTCCTAACAGCACTCTCCTCAATGTGAATCGTTGCTTTCACCCATTGCTTTCCATCCTACGCCGAGACAGATCGTTTTACAATAGTGGCAGCACTGGGTAACCCTAACTCAATCACATGACAATCCGAGGGATACCACAGTTCCAGATCAGACAACACGACGTAGCCAATGTCAATACCAACACCATCACCAACACCAACACGAATACCAATGCCATCACCAACTCCAACAACAACACCAACGCCGTCAGAAATACCAACACCAACATTATAAACACATTAAGCGATGAAGAAAATTTACATTTCTGAGCCTGTTTTTTGAAGTTATTTAGAATTAAGGGGCATTCTTAAAAATCTGTAAAATGTATAACCTGTAAAATTTATTACCATCATGTCTGGCTTTATACAAGTAGACTTAGTCTGATGACTTCAGTAAAGATAATTCCTAACGGAGTTATAATGCATAATGCTTAAAATACTTTGCTTTCTTTTTTAATTACATTATGTGCCATAACGCGATGATAAATCATTTAATATTATAACAACTAGAAAAGTTCACCCGATGTTATCGAGCTAAAAATTGGTAGTAACAGAATAACAGCTTTAGGCTTTGAGATTGCTATTCTCATCAGACTCCACCACCAATCAGTGTCGTATTTTGACTACATGCCTAAGGCTTAAGCCAAAACCCGGTAAATATCCCCATCACGAAAATCTATCGAATAAAAAAGGTAAAGGGAACTAATTTTTTTAAACCCATAATAAATAAGGTCTTTGAACCTGAACGGGCGAAAAATAGTTTTGAGATACACCAAATAAAATAAAAACAAAATAAAAGAAAGGAAATGTAAGGAATTTGAGGATCATTTGTAGGAGAGAAACAGGAGCTCCGTGGAGTTTTACAGGATTTTCAGTTTTTCTCCCATTTTAAATCCAATATGTCAAGAAATAACATTATTGGGCCCAACCAAACATTTATTTTACTTGAGTAAGTATGGTCTACCGTTTGCCCATGAGTTTACAATTATTTACTTGATGAAGCTTATAGACCTCTGTATGTATGTAATTTATTTTTATCAAAAGTCTTTTTTTTTTAAAAAGTCTTTTCACTCTTTAAGTGTGGTTGTTAAAATTTGACATAAATCCGAGACTCGAACGTTTTAGCAACTTCTCAAGCAAACGAAAAAAAAAAATAATAAAAAATAAAGATTAACGTCCCACAAATGTAAACATACAAGGGCGAACGGTGGACTTAATATTAAACTTTCTAAGGAAAATTTGAGAAACAAAATAATAAATTATAAACAGGAAGTTTAATGATCTATAAATACAGGTTTGCAACTAGCTGTACAATAAAATTACTGGCACAGTCGGCTCTTTTAACGGTATTTACTCTTATTCGATTTGATATTAGTGTTTCATGATTTATATATTATGTGGCAAATCTAACTTTCCGTTTGTCACAGCTGTGGCCGATATTTTGCCACAGCTGTGGCCGATATTTTGACACAGCTGTGGCCGATATTTTGACACAGCTGTGGCCGATATTTTGACACAAAAAGGTTGCCGACCTTGGTTTTGGAATTCAAAGAAAAGACTTTCATTTATTGTGAATCAAGGAAAACATTACGATCAAATTGCACGAGTTTTATCATGGAGATACAGAGCATTACGATCAAATTGCACGAGTTTTATCATGGAGATACAGAGCATTACGATCAAATTGCACGAGTTTTTATCATGGAGAAACAGAAAATTACTCTACTATTATACTTTTATGACATTATACTTGTTAACTTGCTGTGATGTAAGTTAATATAGTTATTTTTCCTGTAATTTTTTTTTCTATTTTTTATCAACTTAATGGTGTAACTAAATTGATTCTTGTTACTATCACTGGATGTAATATCGTTTTTATTTGTATATTGGCTTTCAGTCCTTCGTTGCGAATTGTTCATTAACGAGCCACATCTTAAAACAAGACACTCAGTTTCTTTGAAGTTAAAACAGTACGCAACACTATGTGTTTAAAAACTGCCCCATTGATGTTATTACCACTCGTAAAAGTTTAGTCAACTCATTGTGGACTAAGCCAAGTTATCATAGATTATTTTTATTTTTATTTTTTGTAATCAACATTTTTAATCAGTCTTGGTCATCTTTGACGAGATGTTGCTGAACTGAGAGTCGCTATACCATATAGACTTACTTCTACTGAATTGAGGGTCCAAATGTCATATGTAGACTTTCTTTTACTGAAATAATGGTCCAAATATCACATATAGACTTAATTTTATTGAAATGAGTGTCAAAATATCATATATAGACTTAATTTTTACTGAAATGAGGGTCTTAATATTATAAATTAGACCTAACTTTACTGAAATGAGAGCTGTGAACATCAAATATTAGACCACTTCTCATGGAGATAAGGGTAGTCATATCAGATAGTAGACCCAGTTTTACTTATATAATGATCATTTAACTAGATATCAGTCTAGGAATTGATGGAAAAAAATTGTCACTTTATCATATATTGGACCTGCCTGCTATTGCTGAAATTATGGTAGCTTTATCATATTTAAGAAATACCTTTATGAAATAATTTCATCTATAAGACATCTTAGATCAGTTATTGATGACAAGATCAAGCTTAAATGACTAAATATCTATAATATTAGAGCCGCATTTGCTGTAATTATGTTTGATTTATAGCCTAGAATTAGATCTGTCATTGCTGAAATGATGTGAACTATTGCCAATAGAATTGGATATAATTTTCTGGAAATCTGAATAGGCCGAAATTTTTCAGTACTGAAACTGTGATTACAGTTAGTATACTTAAACAACATTCCCTTGGTGTTCTGAAATGTTTTTCATTGTAAGAAAGTGTTGAGAATCACTTCAATAAGTCTGAGGAGCTGACCCTCTGTGGAAGCAAGTAATGTAACACAGAAGTGTTTTTTGAGAACCGTTCGATTCACGAACAGTTGGTCATTTCTGGTTATAAGCTATGTAATCCCTGAGTGTTGAGAACCACTCCATTTAGGTGAACCCAATCCTTGTCTAGAAAAACACAACCTGATCCAGGATGTAAAAAAAAAAAAAAACAACAAACAAACAACTGTCGCAGGTGCTTTCCAAATAAAGATGTGCATCGATGCAGACGAATACCACGGTATGTGGCATGACACAGAGGCGGAGAAGGAGGAAGTGGAGGGGCCCGGACATTCCAGGTGGGGGCTTTTTTACCTTCTTTATACCCAGGGGCGGCACTCTCGGTCAACGACAGACGTTTTACTTGTTTCATTTTTTTTTTTAACATTTATTTATTTATTATTTATTATTATTTTTTTTTTGAAAAGAAGAGGGGCTGGTG